AGCAAGCGTGCGTATAGAGTCACTACTATAAGTTCCGTGAGGTGTGTTAGAGTTGTTTAGCAGTGATGAAGGTTCAGCCCAATGAAAGGAAACGAACAATCCGTAAAAAACGGACCCCGGCTATCAGAAGCCGAGTGTTTCCTGAATATGTGTGTATTGAGGATGTGGATAAAATAATCAGCAGCGCGCACGAGTCCTGCTCCAGGAAAACATCTCAGCTTCTGAAAGCACATTTACTCCTATCGAGAGCTCAAGCTTTCCGGAGTGAACGGAAAGGCTCAGGGCTTGCTGAGCTCAGGCAGTTTGAACCTCAGGCCCACAACACGTGAGGAAGAGCAGCGGAGTCTTCCTCACCCAAACACGCTTCCTGTAGAGCTCAACATCTGGAGCACGATCCGAAGTCACGCTCGTCTCCAGCAGCAGGGTCACAGAAACGCGCTCTGAACTGCAGTTTCGAAATCAAGAAGAGCTTCCTCTTCGGGTCAGTCTGGTTGATATTATTAACCACACGAGCTGTTGGTAAACACACCTCACGAAGCCCAGCTCTCTATGTCCAAATCACACCAACTTTTAGGCACAATTTCACAATTTAAATGCACGTCGGCTTTCACTTTTACGCACACATATTTCAATCCGACTTAACCCATAAAAACGAGTTTTGTGGGAACAAATGAACGCATTTAGGTTGATTCAGTAACGTTACATCATTTTGACCAGATTCAGTTCATGTGGAGTCAGATTTTTAATAGGCTCCTGAAAGAAAGCGTCAACCACTCTCTATCACCATGCAAGGCAGTAATCTTAAAAGCTACTCATTTAGCATCTTAGACACTAATATGCACCCTTTACACTCTTAAAAATAAAGGTTCTAAAAGGGTGTTTTTTCAGTGATGCCATAGAAGAACCATTTTTGGTTCGCAAAAGAACCTTTCAGTGAACAGTTCCTAAAAGAACCGTTTTGAAGAACATTTAAAAAACTGTTTCTGCACTTGAAAGGTTCCACGGATGTTCAGTGTTCTTCATAGAGCCATTGATGCCAATAAAGAACCTTTACTTTTAAGAGTGTAGTGGTAAAAAGGTACAAAAGTGTAACTTTTGTAAATGCAGCGACAGAGCTTGCTAGGGTAAAGTGCGTGTCAGTAGCACGAGTTTCTGTTACTATTTGGCGTGCTATTTATACGCAGAAATTGACTTTGGCGTGCATATGAAACGCAGTGCTTAGGATTAGGGGTGTGGGTGCGTATCATATGCACACATGCGTATAAAATAGGATGCCAAATATACACTGAAAATTGTCCTATTGATACGCATTTTCATGAGACCGGGCTCTTCACCAGTTCTGGTTTAGATCGAAACAGGACAGAAATGAGTCTGGCTCTCACCCAGCGGGTCGTGGCGGATCAGCGCGTGCGTAAAGTCTCGCTGGAACGGGTAGATGGACGCGTAAGCGAGCGCCTGCTGCGACAGAACCGGGTGGATCGGCGTGGGCTCGTAGATCGGGGTCCGGTAAGACGGGATCAGGCTGGTGAAAGACGAGTTTGGAGACGGCAGGGTCGGCGTGGGCGCCACCGGGCCAGGCGCGGACGCGTTTCTGCCCAGAATGTCCTCGATGTAGAAGGGCGTCGGGTGAGCGGGCGGCGCGGGCGTCGGCGCGTAAAGAGGAGCGTGCGAGGGCTGGAACTGCATGGCTGGAGAACAATCCTGTGACTTCTGCTTCCATGCAGTTCGTCAGGTTGCGATGAGCGAAAGCGGGAGGTCACTAGTGAGGGAGGGGATGATGTTTTATGAGGGAGGAGAATAACGGGTCAGACTTCCTGCAGGTACGCGAGCTCTGATTGGTTCTCCGAGAAGAAGGAGATGAAGGAGAAGACAGAAGAAACCTGAGGATGCACCTGGATTACACACACACTCGTGAAGCTGCATGATGCAATCTCACTTTCATTTAAGCCACATTACTGAACCAAAAGCCCAATTTAATGGCCTTTCATGACTTTGTTAATAAAAAAGTCATAATTATAAACCCGTTGAAATTAAAACATTAAGTTAAATTGCTAAAATGTTTAATTAAAATGAAATTCAGTAAACTGTATTTAATTACTACTGATGAAAGTTTAAATTATAGAAATTAATAGAATTAATTATAGAAATGAATAATGAATCAAATCGATAGAAATTAAATGGATAAAAACAAAGATGTTATGACTTTATTCTGATTGTATTCCGGTTAGAAATTATTTGTAGTAAATATTTTGTGATTTTATTTTTATGCTGTTTTGTGCAATGGATTAATAAAAAAAAATAGGCCTAATTATAAACCCGTCAAAATAAAAACATTCAGTTTAATTGCTTGAATGTTTAATTAAAATGAAATTCAGTAAACTGTATTTAATTACTACTGATGAAAAATCGAGTTGAAATTATAGAAATTAATAGAATTAATAATAGAAATGAATAATAATTCAAATCATTAGAAATTAATGTTATGACTTTATTCTGATTGTATTCCGGTTATTATATATGTTAGAAATTATTTGTTGTATATATTTGATTAGACAGAAGAAACCTGAGGATGCACCTGGATTACACACACACTCGTGAAGCTGCATGATGCAATCTCACTTTCATTTAAGCCACATTACTGAACCAAAAGCCCAATTTAATGGCCTTTCATGACTTTGTTAATAAAAAAGTCATAATTATAAACCCGTTGAAATTAAAACATTAAGTTAAATTGCTAAAATGTTTAATTAAAATGAAATTCAGTAAACTGTATTTAATTACTACTGATGAAAGTTTAAATTATAGAAATTAATAGAATTAATTATAGAAATGAATAATGAATCAAATCAATAGAAATTAAATGGATAAAAACAAAGATGTTATGACTTTATTCTGATTGTATTCCGGTTAGAAATTATTTGTAGTAAATATTTTGTGATTTTATTTTTATGCTGTTTTGTGCAATGCATTAATAAAAATAAAATCACGAAATATTATAACGAGTAGTAATGTCTTTGATTTGAAAGGCAATGTCTTTAGTAAAAAATAAGTCGAATATAATCTTGTATTTAGTTATGATCAGCTGCATACAGTGAAGTGGGCTGTAATGAAGGAAGCACTCATCACAGGAGCATTGATCTGCTCACAGACAGACACTGAAGCTCTGCAGAAACCTGCGCGTTTATCAGCAGATCAAGCTGTGTCGTTCATGAAAGGCTGATCTGGGAACAGCTAATATTTGCGCTTTGCCAATCATTGCAGCTAATCGATCTGCTGTCAGTCGTGGCGCCTCGTGTCGAGATCATTCTGAACAAACTCCATCACACTCACACCGCAAAGAGACAATAATGGCCTTGAGAAGCGTTCCTGACACATTAAACGCACCAATAACGACGAGCTTCCCTCTTTTCCTCCTTACTGTCAGCTCACAGCAGGTGAAACAGCTTCATTCGAGCCCAGCTCTTCACTTTTCCAGTAGCACTGACTGTCATTTCGTCATTTACAGTCATTTGATAAGAGAAGTCCGATCTGATCACTTCTAATCAGAGTCGTTATTGATCACGGTTAGTTTCAATTAGCAGCTGATTAGAGTCCAATAGAGCTGAAGAGCGAGTAGGAAGCAGATAATGATGTGTGACAGGAACACTTATCATCATTCAGATTCACATCATCTCAACAACTGCTGACAGAACACACACACACACACACACAGACACACAGACACACACACACACACACACACACACACACACACACACACACTCTCTCTCACACACACACACACACACACACACACACACACACACACACCAACACACACACAAACACACACACTCACACACGCCCACTCACACACACACACACACACACACACACACACACACTCACAATAATCAGCAAGCGTTCAGGGGCAGGTTTGTGCTCTTTTGGGCCTAAAATATGATGATAAAAACCAGACGCTCCGGAACATAAGAGATGTGTTTATGAGTCAAACATGAACAGCACAGCACATTTACACTGATTGTGGAATCTTCCCAGCTCACAGAAATGTTCAGAGAACGTTTAAACTAAAACATCAATTTTCAAAAACGTGTTTCTTGGTGATGTGAACGTTACATGAACATTCCATTCGATCACTAGGTGTTACATCTGACGGTCCTCTAAACGTTCTGAAGCACGTGTCGCATTTACAAACTAACGTGTTGAGATCATCATTAAAGACCAGAGGACTTAACTAAATGAACGTTGAATTAACGCTACCGGAAGAACGTTTGTTCATAACTGCGAGAAAATGTTGTTAAAAACATTTAGTTTTTTGGATTTCATTTGTTGAATGTTGTCACCATCTGCTGGATGCGCTGTGGAAATATAGAAATAACGTAGGCCTATGCATATAATAATAATAATAATAATAATAATAATAATAATAATAATAATAATGATAATAGAAAAATACGGAACAGTGAAGTGATTTAAAAAAAATAATCAATTTAATCCGCTACTGTCAGTTTTGGTAAACTATAATTACTTTGATTTGATGGGCATAGAAAAAACAAAAAATATTTGAATTGTCAAAAATCATGAAATTGTGTCAATAATAATTACTGATAAAATTGCATGTACGTCGTATATATATATTATCCCATCCTAACAAACCAGACATCAGTGGGAGCTTATTTATTCAGCTTTCAGATGATGCATAACTCTCAATAAATAAATAAAAAAGGACCCTTATGAAAAATCCAGCAATATCAACAGTGGGCTGTGATTGGTCAATCCTGAAAGCGTTGGGAAAAGTAACAGCTGCGTTCTGAGCTCCCCAGCGGAAGTGCTTTAGCGAAACATAATACATCATTATTTTGATACATAATGTCTGACAGATGAGAGACACGATTCGGGCCACTAAAAGCGCCCTCGAGTTTAATTCCACGCGTGTCACCGGTAATCGTGTCCCTCCTGTAACAACAGACGTGTTGTGTTTCACTAATAAGTGTCCGCCCCCTGATTCTCGTCCCTGGTTGGTGAGAAACTAGTTCCGCCTCCGGTCGCCATGCATCGCTCCGCACGGAACCTGCAGCGCTTCAGCGCGGATCTGTCGAAGCTGTGGGCCGCGCAGAGATCCAGCAGCCTCCGGTACATCTGCCCAGCGCCGGGGCTCCAGCTCAAGCCGCTCAGAATGGTAACATCTCGGTGTTTCTGCGGTGTTTAGTGCGCTGTTAGCCGGTGGATGACCTTCATGTTTAATAACGCTCTTCTGAAGCCTCTGAATTACTATCATTCATATATGCGTTTCATAACATTATGTATTAGTTCTTGACCAGTCATAAGGGTGAATTTTGTGAAATTGAAGTTTATGCATCAGCTGAAAGCTGAATAAATTAGCTTTCCACTGATGTATGGTTTGTTAGGATAGAACAATATTTGAAAATCTGGAATCTGAGGGTGCAAAAAAATCTAAATATTGAGAAAATCATCTTTAAAGTTGTTCAAATGAAGTTCTTAGCAATGCATATTACTAATCAAACATTAAGTTCTGATATATTTACGGTAGGAGATTTACTAAATATCTTCATGGAACATGATCTTTACTTAATATCCTAATGATTTTTGGCATAAAAGAGAAATGTATAATTGTGACTCATACAATGTATTGTTGGCTATTGCTACAAATATCCCCCAGCGACTCAACACTGCTTTTGTGCTGCAGGGACACAGATATGAATATGATGTATGTTTTGTGGTTTCAGGCCAGCTCAGAGTCGTTCAGGATCGAGAGGGACACGTTCGGGGAGCTCAGAGTCCCTTCTGATAAATATTATGGAGCTCAGACGGTCCGATCAACAATGAACTTCAAGATCGGAGGAGCCTCGGAGAGAATGCCAGTGAGAAACACGCTTATTACTCTTATTAATGTCGGTTTATGATCTGTAATGGTGAGAATAATTCCTCTTCCTGTAGATTCAAGTCATCAAAGCCTTTGGGATCCTGAAGAAAGCTGCGGCAGACGTGAATAAAGATTACGGTTTGGACCCAAAGATCGCAGACGCCATCATAAAAGCTGCTGATGAGGTGATTTCATCTCAGAACATCAATACAGGCACTTGTACTGTATAAAGTTAAACTAAAAATGAACTTCCATTTACTAAATTTCCTAAAATTTTTGTTACTTGAATGAAAATGAAAGTTAAATAAAATATGCATTTTTTTATAAAATAACTAAAACTGATATCCAGACGCCATCATAAAAGCTGCTGATGAGGTGATTTCATCTCAGAACATCAATACAGGCACTTGTACTGTATAAAGTTAAACTAAAAATGAACTTCCATTTACTAAATTTCCTAAAATTTTGGTTACTTGAATGAAAATGAAAGTTAAATAAAATATGCATTTTTTTCATTTAGTTTAATGATGCACTAAAATAACTAAAACTGATATAAAAATAAACTACAGACGAAAAATAATCAGATTTACAAAAACACAACATATTTACTAAAACATTAAAGTTAAAATGATAGAGGAAAATATTCAGCTTATTCAAAATATGAATGACACTATAGTCGTGTCTCTGTCTGGTCATGAGATTCACACAGCAAGCATTTCTTCAAGCACAGAATCACACGCATCGTATGTTCGCTTGATTTCACTGAGAGCACATTGATCTGTGTTCTGTCTTTGGTGTGTGTTTTCGTTGCCAGGTGGCTGCTGGGAAGCTGGAGGATCATTTCCCGCTGGTGGTTTGGCAAACAGGATCCGGAACGCAGACTAACATGAACGTCAATGAGGTGATCAGTAACAGAGCCATCGAGATTCTCGGAGGAAAACTGGGCAGCAAAGACCCTGTTCACCCCAACGACCACGTCAACAAGAGCCAGGTTACACACGCAGACACACACTCACACACACACACACACACAC